TCGCAGATTTCGAGACTCGTGAAAACGTCGATAATACTTGTGGAGTGGTCGTATTATCGTCTTCGCCGCCGTCGAGACATGATCGACGGCGAATAAATAATAACAATACGCGTCTGTCGGTGTTATAATAATAAAGTCGTCATCTCGACGTGTACCTACCACATTGTTATAATAATAATACCACAGTAATATATACACTCGGGCAGAGTTGTATACGATCGATGACGTGTCGTTTGCGGTAAAAGTCACCATATTATTATACATGCAATATACGCGTTTGTCACCGGCGTCTTCCGTCAGAAGCCATGTGTACCTATATTATAATATTATATAATATTATGCCGGTTCGTCTGCGTCACACACCGTATATGATAAATATATATATAATATATATTATTATTAGACGTCTATAAATATTATTATAATGACGCGCGAAATAACAGACGAAGCGAAACGTATGCGCTATAATATTATGCTAGTTTTTCTGCAGCGATGGATTGTGTGTTATTCGCATAGATATAATACTATATAGTCGTAAATATACTTCAAATTTGCGATCCATAACGTTCGGTGTTTTGTAAACGAATACTACACGTGAGTATCGACGATGAACCACCGGACGACCACGTTATTATATACATACCTATAGAGTATATATCATATTATTATACCAGCTATATATATATCAATCTCATGATATCACGTCGGAAGACGCTATATATATTATATATGTATACCGGTGCGGAGGGACCGCCTAGATTTGTTTTATTGCCGTCGTAATAATAATATATTTAATTGTACGCATACATGTTATATACGAATCAATCGCCCGAGTACAAATTAATAATTCCCTCTCCGAACATAAATAATTACATTATCCTGCAGCGCGCACAAAGAATAGAAACGTATTTAATATATTTTATTATTATTCGTGTCCGACTGAGGCCCCTCATATTATATACATATATAATGTACATATATAATATAATAATATATTATATATATTTTTTTTTCGGGGTACACGCGGACACGGATACGTGAAAGACCCAATCAAACGGAATCGGATGACGGTGCGGTGCGGTGCGGGGTCGTACGGGCGCGAGACAGGCACGCAACTCTTAATCGGCACTCGGAAATTTATAGCGGAGCACCGCCTCGGACGTGAATTATTCCTTTTCGGTTTTAATTGCATGCGAGCATCGGACCGACGCAAATGGTCTTCGCCGTCGACGTCGTCTCCGTCGTCTCCGTCGTCATCGGCGGCGTATAAATCATGACGGACTCCAAACGCGCGCACGTCATGTAGGTACATATATAATATAAGTATACACAATATATTACGTGCGTGTGTATACGATCATATTATATATATAATATAATGTATACATATATAATATATTATGTATTGTATGGGTACCAAGAGAGCCGAATCAATTATAATAACCCGACACGACGGGCACAAACGGACAGAAACAATAACTCTCCACGAAGCGCCACCCCCTGTAATTAGTTCGTAAAAAACGACCGGCGGCGGTACCGCGTGTTGTACTTTGTATACATAATATTATTATTATATTATATTATATTATAATGTATACGCGAACCGTCTCGCGTATATAATAATATCATTCGTGTGGGTAACCGCATAAAAAAGAAGTGGCCCACCACTATGTAATAACGTTGCCAATCCTACGAGCACACCCGCAATCATCACGAATGAGGATGCGTCTAATGTGGTGGATATCACTTTAATATATGGATTAGTGCACCAATAATGCCCCAACAGTCCCGCAAAATGTGCTTTCCGCCAAGGACCACACTGCCGACTTCAAAGAATGCTCAGAATTCAAGTCAACTTTCAAAAAAAAAAAAAAACGCTCCACCAGCCATTATTATCTTTGGCCCTGATTCTCATGCACAACCTAAATCCACATCATACTCAGAATATATATCTCTGATACTCTTTCAAATTTAATTTCAAATCTAAATTCCTTAATCAGCCTTCTAATATTTCCTTTCTCTCTTCAGTTCTAAATGCACCACTCGCTATTATCACACTGAAGGAATTATCTCTTCTTAATTGTTTTCTTCCTAACACTCCCTCGTTATATAATCTTGTCCTATAATACTACCTATAATCAGTTTTATTAATTATCGTAGCCCTCATCAATATCAGTTAAATATTCAAATCTCGTTTTATTATCAGTTTAATTGTAATGTCCTCCCTAATTACTATATATTATGGATCTAATAAATTTCATTAATAATATTTATATTATGTTTGTATATTTTCGTTCTCTAGTATTATACTAAAAATTAAAATATGGGTGTGTGTGCAGTGTGCTGTGTGTTATCGGCATAATTATTATAATTATACTATCTTATACACGTAAAAACTGTTAATTAGTTGATGTATAATTTCTTGGACCGGTGACAGGATTCCCCATATTATGAAGGTTTCGGTTCCGGTTTCGATTTGTCACAATAAATAGTTAAGGTTTCGACTTTCGGTATGTATACCGGTATTTCTACCTTAACTTTTTTTAGTCCTATAAAACAAATACATTTAATGGTAAAATTTAAATATTACTTTATATTATATTATACATACCTATAGGTATATACCGATATTATATATGTATATACTTATACTTGTATAGTTGTATTCGGTTATAGTTGAAACAAAATATTTTCGTCGTCTATTGGTGATATTATCAGTAATTTAGATTTCAAACGTGGAATCGACTGAAACGAATTTTTTTTTTTTACATGGTTTTGGTTTATGAAAACAAAACAGGACAATCCGTGAAAAGAAAAAATAATCTATAGGTACATCAAATTATCGGTTCCGGAAAAAATTCGGTCAGGTCATAAATCACAATAAATAATTATCAAACCGCTGCAGCCTTCCCAGCGACAATCACAACCGTCTTTTCAGGTTTAAGATATTTTTGAAGTAGAAATCGCCTATAGTCTCTGCATATTTTAATTATCGTGTAAATAACGAGTGACGACCTCCACCACGCTCGCCAGATCGAGTTTAGAATAGAAAAATAATGTTTTAACAACAGTATAGATACAGTACTAGTGTACTACATCATGTATCGATCATAATCATAGCTGGGGCGGCCGCGGTTTTCTTAATTAAACGGAAAGAAAATTATACTTTTTTAGAGCTTCTTGTATTTAATTTCATTTAACTCGTAATAAATGTTTTACTATATCATTATTGAAAGGACATAATACAATTGTATAATTGTATACCATCATATATATCTCTGTTATTGTGATACATATATTATATTTTATTATCGATGTATCTATGGCCACATGTGGTAAGCATACTTCTGTGAGATTGTGACAAAAAAAAAAAAAAAAAACTCGAAAAGATTCTCAAAGTCCTTGGCAGACGGTATAATATCGTTCGAAATTTAGACCGGGAAAAAACTCGTCGGATTTATAACGTAGTGCAATTTTTTTTAACAACCGTCCGCGCGTGGCCATCCGTCGTTATATTATGTCCCACTGCCAAGTGCCAACCGAGTACCTATATTATAGTTCAACGCGTATAATACGCATCGCATATATTACTTATATATTATTATAAGCGAGATGTTTATTATTGCAGCGATACCGAATAAATCACTGTTTTTATATTTTTTGACCGCGTTCCTACATAATAATAATAATAATAATATTATAACGAAGGTGTAGTAGGTACTCGTATGCGCACCCAAAAAGTCATATTTCATTTGCGAAATACGACGACTGCTGCAGGTACGATACGATTTAATTTCGAAACCAGTTTCGTCGATCATAAAAAAAACCTTCCTAGTCGCGAGAACATATGATAATAATATGTACCTAATAATGTAAAAATAAATATAAAAGCTATGGAATTTCACGATGGACGTTCGTATTAATTTAGTGATATGATATTGTTGTCAAGGCGATTGACTGTCGTTAAAATACGTGATGTGGAAAAAAAACATATTTAGTAGAATTTAGGTACATAATATCGGATCCTCTATACATGTGCGTGCGCGCGCACACACACAAACATATTTATATAATATTATTTATTTAATACGTATAGTAATACGTTATCGCCGAGGTCGTGACAGTCTCTCTCAATAAAAACAGAACATTATTCGACTCTTCTGGGTTCGATTGGTTTTGTTAGTTTTTTTAATAATTATTAGGCATCGAGTCATATTGACATTTTTTTTTTTAATACAAATCGTATACGAGAGCAAGACACGAGCGTTCAAAGACATTTTGGGATTGCTGTTCTTAATAGCAATTATTCACATTTCATTTTACATAATATAACATATTATTAGTATAACGTCAAGTGACAGCTATTATGTACTAGTTAAATAGAAGGTATGCTTAGAAGTTAGAGGTGACCAACTTTTTAGTTCAACTATAAGTCATTAGGTTAGTTGTTTAGAATACAGAATAATAATTCACCAATCACGCTCACCCCCATTGCGTAATAATTTACTTCATTATTCGTTCATTTAAATTATTCTGATTTAATGCATTTTCAAGTACCTACCTACTACATCTACTGTTGGAGAACATATATAAAAATACTAACAGTGTCGAGTGTTGGATTTTACTTACATAATATTGTGTCAAATTAGATTTTTACATTCAAATTAAAATAGTCGACATGGTGTATACCGTCTATTAATATGTATATACCGAGTAACCCATTTCACGTAAGACACTCATTATTTTAAATCTATTAAAGTTTTTGAAAATATTTTTAAATTTAATTTAATTTTTATAAACATAAAAATATAACAAACTTTGATATATTTCAACCTTTGAAATCACTTTATTATTTCATAAATTAATATACAAGCGTATCTCCTAATTACCATATAGTAAGTAATATAACAAAATTACACTTAAACATAATATATTATCAAATTTAAGTCTTTGAAATTGCATAGCTAATATCTTAAAAAATAAAAAAAAAAACAAATATGTTATACTTTCATTCGTAGGTCCATAGTGTAAATGGAATAACCCCATTCAGCACATTTCACTAATCTTTCAACAATCATTTTTTCCATGTCTTCATCTAAAACAGTTTGACCTCCAATTTTTTTCCTTTTTCCATCAGTTTTAACCCATTTTTGGAGTGTTGAGTAACTTACATTATGGTTTTCAGCAGCTTTCCTTAGAGAAATTCCATTTTTAACTTCGTCAGCAGCAGTATTTAAATCACAATCATTCCTTTTCCTGTACTGTTTCCTTCTGGGATCAGAAATATATACTCTGGGCATCAAAAAAAAAAAATATATTTTTTAAAATTATGTTCATGAAAGTGTAAAACAACACATTTTTGGTACTGTTTGTGTTTTTGTTGCAAATCACCCCATTTTTTGGTTAATTACTAGAAATTGATGATTCCAAAATTTATATTTAATTGAAAAATGTACTTACGTTGTTGTATTGTAAATTTCTGAAAAATTAACAACATTTTCTATTCAGAAAAAAAAATTATTGAAAAAATCCGATCACAATATTTTTTTTTCCAATAGATAACATTTATCACAAAGAATTTAATTCTTATTTTTTCATAGTGATAACACTTAAATTGAATATTCGTCATCAATAATAAACAAATTACTGAAGACTTGTTGCAATTCACCTTGCAGTTTCAATTCACCCCGTTTTATTTACCCCGTAATATAGATCGACGTACCTACTTAAAATAATATTCTACTCCGGAATATAAAATTAATAATAAATGTTTTCATTCAAAAAGGTAAATAGATTAAAAAAAAATAAACCCAAACAAAATAGTAAGAATAGGTACCTTGTAATGACTCAACAATTACGATATAAAATAAAATACGACGCCTGTCGATAAATATATTAAAATCGTAAGACTAAGCAATTACCTTCCTCCAGGTGTTCGGAGGGCTCTCGAGATCGTGTTTTCGAGAATTAGATCAAATACACTATACAACACAATTGTATATAAACCATGCACAGATAATATAACAAATGCAATTAATATAAAATATTATATTAATTGCCTTACCTGATCCGCAGTCGATTATGAATTATCTTGTAAGGGTTTTAATAGACACAGAGTAATATTTTTTAAAGTATAAATCGAAATAATAAACGCACTGATTATTGCTCACATAAGGAGTCCAGAGTGTCGCTCGTTGAAATCGGTTTCTTTTAGACTTTTTTGTGTTGTGTGATACTTAATTTTGGGGAAATAGAAAAGGGTGTGCCCTCAGAATCTGTTAAAGATTGTTTTGTATTTAAGTTTGTATAGTCTATCCTTTCGACTTTAGGGAATGATTTTTGTGTGTGTGTGTTGGAGGAGTCTGTTAGTTCTTTATTTATTTTTGTATAATTATGAGTCGGGACTATTTGTATTTTATTTATATTATTTATTGTGTTTTTACTATCGTTTGTTATTTTTTTAAATTTTATATTTCTATTTAGTGAGATGAGTGTCGGCATTTCTTGTATGTGGATTATATTTTTAGGAATTTTATTGCATTTTGTTGTTGTTAAAGTGCCTGGTATCCAATGAGTATTTTTATTAATGTTATATAACACTATGGGTGACCTATTTCCATAACCATATATTATACCCGTATTATCGTCGTCATTGTATATGTAAGTATCATGATCGTAATAATGTGCAATCGCGGCTAAATCCTCATCTGACCACCAATAATCTGGTAGTTCGTTTAGATCTAATAATTGTAGTATCTCTAATATTGAAGTTATTTTATTAATTTTATGGTCATTTAAAGCATTGCAGACGGCGTATATCCCACAATTCCCATCACTGAGTACGTTTTCTCCTGGTTTGAAAGTAGAGAATATGTTATAGGCTTGATCGTTGTATTCGGGTTGTGTGACTTTTATTTTTGTTTCGTTTTTATCATTACTATTGTCGAGAAAATTATGAATATTACTTATTATATCAGAGTGTTCTTTTGATTTCCAATTTTGTGATGTGTTTTTGTCATTTTTATGGTATATATGTATTTCGATGTTAGTGTTTTGAAATTCTGAATATAATAATTGTTTTACAACGGACCAATTTAGTTTGTCTAAACCCGACGCTAACGTAGGCATTGCAATTTTTGAAATATTTAGTTTTATGGCTTCAAGTTTTAGGTTGTGAATTGAAGATTTTAGATCTTCATATTTGGGCTTATGATAGTGTAATACTTTTGTTATTAAATGAAATATAGTTTTATTATTGCTGTTTATAGGTATGGTGTTTCCCACATTAATTTCTTGTAATGCAAGTTTTGGTCTGGTATCGCCGTATACTTTGCATATCAAATTTGCTATGCCCTTATTCATTTTGAGGTCAGTAGATATACAGTGTGCTATAGCGAAGTCATCTGGGCAATTAAATATGCTATCTTTTATTTCTATAATATTATTGGTGTTATTTATACAATTTATCGCGTTTATATAGTTAATTTTTAGCTGAATGTTTAAATTATTATTTAGAATAATATTATTGTCTTTAAAATCGATTAAGGCATTGTTTTTTATCAAAAAATTATTGCCCAGTATTATTGCGCTAGATAGATTTTTGACGACGTAGGTGTCTACATCGAAGTTGTATTTGTTAATTTTAATTTTGATTTTTGTTATACCTGCCACACATAGTGGTTTATTATCTGGTCCTGATAGTTGTATAATACTTGGAGTTATTGTATATTCTAAGGGTAATAATTCTTGTCTAATACAACATATGTTTGCACCCGTGTCAACTGTTATTGGTAGAGTGATATTATTAAATTCAGCTTCGATGTAGAGGGCATCGGGTGTACAATTAATTTTATTTATGTGTTGATACGAGGATGCCGTAATTAAAGGTGAACAATTATCAGCCGTGTTTAACCTTACATTTAGTTTTTTGAATTGTTGATGTATAGATCACAATTGTTAGCGGTATGCCCGAACTTATTACAAATTTGACACACTGATGGGCGTGGTTTATTTCTAAAAAAGCATTTATCTTCTGAGTGATTAGTTTTTGAGCAAATTGAACATTGCTTTTTTTGAATATTAGAGTCCCTATAATTATATGGCGAATAATTTATTTGTGACATATTGTTCATTGGATTTGATGGGGAATATGATTGGTTGTACTGTGTTGGATTTGTGTTCCAATATGGTGTATTATTATATGAAGTATTATGTGTTTGAGGTTCTTGTGTATGCCATTGTTGATTGTTAAACTTATTTTGCTCTTGTTTATTTTTAAGTGCGAGTGAATTATTTTGTTCTATGTTACTTTGGTGTTGTTTATTTTGTTCATTGTTTATAAGTTGGCCACACATAATTTTTAAGTTATTTAATTCTACGCGTAATTTATCGATTTCATTTTCTTTTGTGGTTTTATTGGTGTTAATTTGTTGGAGTTTAGATTTTATTAATTCTGTTTCGAAATCAAGTGAAGTTTTAGGAGTGTCACCTGTAATCATAAATTCAACCATTTCATATTTCCGCACATTACTTTTTAATTCTGTTAAATTTTCATTTCCCATTATTCCTATGTATCGTGCTATGGAGGGGTTTAAGCCTTTCATTATATTGCGGACCATTTCCTCTTGTGACATTTTACTATCAATGCGCCTACATAATGATTCAGCATCGTTAATGTAAGATACCGTGTGTTCATCTGGAAGCTGTTTACGTTTTTCTAACATTAATCGGAGCATATCGGTCTGCGCTATTGGTTCAAATTCTAACCTAAATTTTTTTTCTAAATCAGCCCATTTTAGGTCTTCACCACTATCTATTATGTTATCATAAAAAGTAAGGGCGGAACCTTCCAAAAATACAGGGATGTATTGAGTTTTTTCGGCTTCAGACCAACCATTTATGATGGCAGCTCTGTCATATTTTTTTAGAAATGTATCGATGTTTTCAGAAATAGCACCTGTGAAATTGCTTGGTTTGAAATATGGTTTTTTATTCTCAGGCATACTGTTTTTTATTAGATTACCGTTAGATTTGTCAATTGGTTCTGAGATAAATGATATATTGGTTATTTGCGTATCGAAATCGTCTGAAATGGCTTCCCCCTTTAAATATTTTTGTAACCTAGTTTTTAGATCTGTAACTAAACCGGATGTTTTTAGGTGTCTTCTAGATAATTCAGTTATTAATTTCTCTTTATTGCATTTATTTATCCAACTTGTTGAGATAGTGGTAAAGTCGATATCTGGGAATTTAATGTTATCCTGATGGGGGGTTTGGTCGGAATTTTGCATATGTGAAATTTATTATTAAATGTATTAGAATAATATAATAATAAAAAAAAATTCTTTATTGTTAATTGAAAAGTTAATGAAAATTAATTAATTATTTTGGATTTTATTTATACTAATATAAAAGATTAGAAAAGTTAATGAAAATTAATTAATTATTTTGGATTTTATTTATACTAATATAAAAATGTGACGAATAGTTATTTGTATAAGTATTGTTTGATTATGATTTGTATTCATCTGATGAATTATATCTATATATTTTTATATTAAATAATTATGTTATTTTGTTAATTTCTTTTAAGGTTTAATTATTAGAATCTCGTAATAAATATTTGTATAATAATTCATGTATAATATATAATTATAATATTTTTTTTTTGATTTAATAATGCAAGTATGAATTGTTATACAATTATATACTCGTTTTAGGTATACATTTTTACTTAGTGATTAAATTGTAGTCACTTAATTTATACAAAAAAAGAAAATTTGTTGATGTTAAGGTTTGAATGATATATTATAATTTATTAAATGATTAAATTTTTCGTTTTACTGGAAAAGGGGAAATTTTAGTTTGTTTTCTTATTATAATAACTAATAATACTTAATGTATACTGTATATTGTATTATATGTAAAAATAACAAATATATATTTTTTATATTGGATTTTAGGTTAAGTTATTAAATTAATTAATTTTGTTTTACCTAAAAAAAAAAAAATTGTATCTTAGTTTTCTTTTTTTTTTTTTTAATTAATAATAATAGGTATTTACTATAAAAATTCAATTGTATAAATTATTATTAATATAATATAATATATTATAAATAAGATGTTACCTACTTCAATTTAATAGAATAATTTTATGAATGTACCTATAATATATATTTTTTAGTTTTAGTTTTTAGTTTTAGTTTTTAGTTTTAGTTTTTTAGTTTTAGTTTTTAGTTTTAGTTTTTAGTTTTAGTTTTTTAGTTTTAGTTTTTAGTTTTAGTTTTTAGTTTTAGTTTTT